TTTTGAATCAGAAAATTATGTTTAACGAAAATAAAAAGTTAATTAATTTCACTTTATAAATTTCCTTATATTGTTTATTTGGTATTGTCTCCATGCACAAAGTTTTTTTAGTACTATTGTAATGGTATATTTTTGTTCCAACCATTACATAAAAAAAATAGGCAAATAAATCGACATTAAAAATTTTTTTTTTTGAAAACTGGGTAATGTCTATGATGCATAAAAAGCTTTACACGTTGTTTGCGAAAATTATTTAAAAGAAGAGAAGAACTTTTGTACAACATACGTATACAAAGATTTACGTGACTGTAACATTCAATTTATGTATAACAATCAAATTCATTTCGAAATGTGTATGGTTATTTTATGTGACACTTTAAGTAAGTGATCTTTTAAAATAGACACTTTACAGGTTTTAGTAACAGTGTCGAATTATTTATGCAAACTATAATATGCAACTAATAATTAACAATTTTGGTTTTTTAAATTATTGGTGATGTCAAAGATGAAATTTTCACAATGAATTGACCAGAAATAAAAACCCTATTCATTATGTGAAATTAGCCGTTGAATAGAATAGCTTTGCTTCCAGACAAGACTATTTAAAGAACAATATTGAAGAATAAAAAATTTCGTCTAACTAAAATTACCATACACTCCCCAAGAAATAATCACGTGTTGGTAATTTCATCCAATTAACTCCAATGAACGATAATCCTTTGCTGCTCAGATATGCGAGATATGCAAAAAATATGAGAATAAATCCTTTTTCGTAAATTTTTGATGCAACAAATGTATATATAAAATTAGCATGTTTCACTTCCTCATTTCCGGGATACAACAAAGATTACTTCTCTTCGGAGAAATCAGGTTACAATTCCGTGTAAAATATCCTGAAATGTTATTTGGTAGCACAGATTATATTAAAACTAACTGTGTGTATATTTCAATGGTTTTTTTTTTTAAAAGCATAAAAAAGGCATTTCATTTCATAACTGAAAAAAAATTTCTCGAATTTTTTTTTTTTTTTTTTTTTTTTTTTTTTCTTTCTTTAATAATTTTACTACACAGAAAAAAAAATCAACTTATTGAAAAATTGACTTTTTCAACTTTAATAAATAATTTAATTTAAACCCAATTAATTTTTTTTTTTCTTTTTCGAAAAAAAAAAATTTGGTCAATTGATTTGACCTTATTCTTTTTATCTGGTATGTCAAATGTATACTTTCATTTGTTAAAAAAAAGAAGAATATAAACTTGAATTAAAATTTTAATCTTTTTTTTTCACATGATACTAGTTACTCTCGTTAATATATTTTAAAATATGGCGGCAAATTCTACATCGACATTGGATTCAGTATCTTCCTCCTCATCAAGAAGTTCCAAAGATGAAACGATGACCATTTCAACAGAAAATACTTCGGAAATGGATTTAGATTCAACGGAATTGAATGATGAAACTCTTAATCATCTTATTACTGAAAGGCATAAAAGATTAACAACTTCTGCTCATCTTGAAGAAAATGATCATGACGATCATCAAAGTAAATTCAAAACCTTATTTGGTTTATTAAAAAATTTTATCGGCGTAAAAGATATCGTTTCTCTGTATGTAGTCCAAATTTATGATGGGATGTTTTGACATAAGAAAAAAAAATTTTGAGAAAATTTAACGCGATTCTTGTAAATTTTTAGACGGATTTCACTTCCTTCACAACTTCTTGAACCTATTGGAAACCTGGAATATTGGAATTATAACGATAGGCCAGATTATTTACTTTGGTAATTATTCTCCGAGATTTGAATTCTTCTCTCAATTACTTATTGCTTTTAAACTTACGAATTCGGTTATTCCTTTTAGCATTGGAGATTCTGATGACCCACTTGAAAGGATGCTAGCGTCAATTCGTTGGTGGTACTCCAAAGACTTGAAATTTGTGGTAAGTTTTCACCAATCAACGAGGTTCAACATTTTCCTTCTTTTGCTCGATGCGATTTTCTAAAATCCCCTCTTCAATCTTTAAATAGAAAGGGAAATTAATAAAGCCATATAATTCTATCCTTGGGGAGCAATTTTCATGTCATTGGGATGTCACATCACCTAAATTCGATAAAAAAGGAAATTTTATTTATGACTCGGAATCAAATTTATCAGGATCAACAAAAGGAGATAAAAGTTATCGAGTAACATGTTTAAATGAACAAATTTCTCATCATCCTCCTGTATCGGCATTTCATTATCAGTGTGAAGAGAAAGGCGTTTCGGCTTACGGGATTGATCATATATCTGCAAAATTTACCGGAACTTCCGTAAAATTGGGACCCGGTGAACAAAATAAAGGAATTTACGTTAATCTGGCCAAAAGGGACAATGAAGAATATTTATTAACACATCCTGTTGCTTCAGTACAAGGGTGGTTAAAAGCTTCATTGTATGTTGTAGTGAGTGAAAGTTGTATTGTGACCTGTCCAAAGACAAAGTTAAAGGCAATACTTGAATATAAAGAAGAGGTATGGGATATAGGATACGACTTCTTTTTCGTGAGTATTCTTTGACAAGGTATATAGGGGACCTTATTTTAAAGCTAATCTTTTTTTTTAAAAAAAAAATTCGTAGAAATGGCTTGGTAAACCCAAGTTCGCCATTGAAGGAAAAATTTTCAGATATGATTCGGCAAATGATGACATCAATAAGTTAAAAAACGTTAACGCTGATGATGTCGTTGCTGAAGTCACTGGAAGCTGGAGAGGTCAAGTGCATGTAACGCGACGCGATACCAATGTAAGTGAAACATTTTTTATTTTTATATTATATTGTAATATTTATTTACGCTTTGAACTTTATAAACAGGAGACGCGATTATTACTTGATCTGGAAAAGTTAGAAGCCGTGCCTAAAAAAGTAAAACCAATGGCTCAGCAAGGTTCACTAGAATCAAGAAAAATTTGGCGACCTGTTTCCTCTGCTCTATTCTCAAAAGATTATAATAAAGCAACAAAAGAGAAACAGATTCTTGAAGAAAAGCAAAGGCAAAAGGCTTCCGATAGGAAAGCTAATAAACAAGAATTTGATAGTGTCCTCTTCAAAATACCTGTCGTTAATGGTAAACCCGAATTAAAACCAGCTGGGGTCGATGCTTGCGGTAAGGAACTGTTAATTAACTAGAATAAATTATTTAGATCATGTATGATGATATACATACATCTGTCACATCAAAAAAAAAAAAAAAAAAAAATCATATATATAAATATTTATATAAATTATTTATTAAAAATTATTATTGATATTAATAAATTGTAAAATACAAATTTTATTTAATTAAAAGGAATGGATCAACTTTATATTGTGAAAATCTATTAAATAATTGTACGAATGAGATTTCTCTATATTAATACCAGCTTACAGAGTCTCTGTAATGATACTAGACAACAGGATCTCTATTTAAATGACATGACCAAATAATGTTAATGGTGTAAGGGGAGGAAAGGATCAGCCATTTTATATGTTACTTTCCAGATCCAACTTATTTTTCATTTTTGGTCTCTGATTTAATATTTGGTTTTTCAATTTATCCGTTTTTCTTTCTTGATTGAGTGTATTTAAGTTTCTTGTAATAATGACCAATTTCTTTTGTCTGTTAATAATCGTCCCTATGAAAACGGATCCAATTTATTCAGAAAATATTACTCTTCCATAATGATCGCTCAAGATTACGTGTTCTTATTGGAATTAATTCAATTCTCTTCAAGTAGAAACGTTTTCCTAAACCAATTTTAACAAATTTTAATCACCTGATAATTTATTTATCTGATTTTTTTTTTCAAATAGAAAAAAAATAAGAACCTTATTACACTGTCGAAAGCGGCTAGATACGGTTTGTTCAGATTCCATAATGATTGCTCTTATGTGCGTGATAAAACACCGTTATCTTTACGAATATTATCGGAGTTTATTTTGATAAATAAAACAGGATTATAATTTTGTAATATTTGTAAGAACCTTATTATTACACTGTCGAAAGAGGTTAATAATTTTTTTTTATAAAAAAAAAAAAATGCAGCGTTTAATTGGTAATGTTGATCAACAATCGATTGTCAAATTAAGTTTAATTCTAGGAGTAAAGTATGATTGGTCAAATTATTATAAATAAATAACATATTTGTACAAAACCGATAATATAAATAAATTATTTTTTTAAGTAAATGTTGCCAAAGATGATTTAATCTATCGCCTCACAGAATTGAATGTTTCTAAACTCACTGAGTTTCTTCCAGAATTACTAGATATTCTAAATGACATCCTTGCTACCCCCTCATCTAGAACAGATGGTTACATCAACATTATTCATTCTCTCATTCCTTCTTCCTTAATAGACATAGTTCACAAAATCACCAGGAACAAGGGTCAATGTCTCTCTACCATCACTCAAACCTTGATAGTTTTTCATCAAAAATTATTCGAGGATGTTTGGAAACATCGCTGCAATCTAATGATAGCAAAAGAACGTTCATTAGGTATCACAATCAAAGACAAGACTAAACGAGGTGCCAGTTCATTTTTTAGACACGAAGAGACATCAACTCCTACTTACAATTGGGAAAATTGGTTACACATGGCGAATAAATTCGGCTACAATTTTACGGATTTTTAGATAGGCACTGACCCTTTCTTTTTCTTCTCTTGTTGATAGCAATTTTCATTAGGTATAAACTTAGTGGACTTGTTGGAGGGGGAAGACGATGATCGGTCGATTCAAACGGGTTTGTAATATAACTACGGGGGATAGCTAGTACTTAGTCTAGATTTATTTGATTTACTTTTGTATTTCTTTTATATAAATTTAATAAAGTTACTGGCAGTGCCACATCGTTAAAAAAAAAAAAAAAAAAAAAAAATGTATATAGTAAAAAAAAAGAAATGTTATGCTACAAATGATTACTGATATTATACATGGAATAAATTTACAGATTAATGATGAATTATGATTGCAAAAGAATTTTTACCAGTCTAATTTCTTATCATCACACCCAACGCTACCACACTCAGTACTATTTATTGTACCCAACATTTCAACTTTGGATTTAGCCGATCGTTGTAAAAATCTGCTCTTTTCAGGTTTACCATTCTTTGTAACCTTCCATTTACTCGTTCCAAGTATCCTGTCAAGTTCTTGAGTTGATGGAAGTTTTAACCAAACATAATCATCCTGTACCCTAATTTCGAAAGTCATGAGCTTAAGGTCTGCGTCACCAGATATACATTCGCCTGTATCCAATGCAAAATTCTTCTTGTGCATTGGGCAACTCACTTTCAACACTCCATTTTCATCATCTCCTACCAAGCCTTGAGATAACACGAACGCTCGTTTATGTGGACACATATTTTGAGTTGCGTACCAACGTGTTTTCTCATGTGTATTAAATATTGCGATCTGTGTGTCACCGTATTTTATAACTTGACCTGCTTCTACTGGGAAGGCATCTACCGGAGAGATTTTGACCCATGATTTTTCATTCAACGAATTTCTTTCGGGAACAACAAAGCCACCATCATTGAAATCTTTTGGCCAGTCTGCTGGAACTTTCTGACCACGTTCGGTCTTGTATTCAATCTCATCAACGGTTTCATCCGTATTTACAAATTGAACGAAATCCTGACGTCTATTTGGGTCGTTAACTACCTTGGTCCACTTTTTGTATTAATAATAAAAAAAAAAAAAAAAATTCATCATATTCAGTATTTTAATTACGGGAATAATGAATTTCTATACATGATAAAATTTACGATTTTCTTTACCTCGCATTCATAAGTGTAAATCAAACGTGACATATCTTTTTCTAACTCCTCGCATATGCCGAGATGATCATCGATGATAACCTTTTTAAGGTACTGAGAGAAATAAAACTCGTAAATAATCTTTTCCTTTTTATTTATCCTAATACAAACGATAATAAAATGAACTTACTTCAATTCCTCCTTCCAACTTTTCCAACCATCGAGCTGTACGCGCCAATCTGTCGGCGGTGTAAATATAGTACATTAAAAATCTATCTATATATTTAATCGCGGTTTCTTCTGAGATATCCTTCGCCAATAACACGGCATGTTTTGGTTTGGAACCACCATTTCCACAGACATAAAGGTTATAACCATTTTCTGTCGCGATGAGACCAAAGTCTTTTCCCTGGGCCTAGAAAACCAAATTAAACAAAAAAAGAGGAAATTAAGATCGGTAATTCCATATAACCAATCACGAGAAACGAACATAAATCACATGATTTACCTCTGCACACTCCCTAAGGCAGCCTGGGTTTGGGATTAAAAGGTTAGTTTTAATAGTTGCTTCATCAATATAATAATGGTCAAATATTAAAAAGGTTTTGACATCTTACCCGATACTGCTGCTTTTATCTTGTGTGGCGCTCTTATTCCTTTATATCGATCTTCAATGGCAATTGAAAATCCGACAGAGTCACCCATACCATATCTGTTTTGTATTGGAAAAACAAATATTATGTTAGATTCATTCTTAAACACGGGAGGATTTCATGATTCTAACGCATTCATTTAAACGAGAATCAAGAAACTTTGAACGTTGAATTTTAAAAAAATACTTGCCGGCACCATTGACTTCCCACACAAGATTTTACAGTTCTCAGGGCTTTTCCATAAGCGTGACCAGATTCAAATCCGGCTTTAACAAGCTCTTCCCATATAACGGGTAAATCTTGCTTTTTTGCACCAAAAAGATCAATTCTTTGGCCACCTGTGATTTTAGTGTATAACCCATATTTGTCCGCAACTTGTCCGAGCACGACAAGTTTTTTAGGAAGAATTTCACCTCCCGGTACTCTAGGAACGATAGAATATGATCCCCCGCGTTGAATGTTGGCAAGGTAACGGTCATTTGTATCTTGTAGATTGGCATGATCGAGGACATGATCGTTCCATAAACTAGCCAAAATTGAAGCGATAGCCGGTTTACAGATTTCACATCCATGAGTTCCTTTTTTACCGACCTTTTCCATGATTTCTTTAAAGGTTGTCAATTTCTTTATCTTTATGACCTGGAATAGTTCAGAACGAGATAAGCTGAAATGTGGACAAAGCGCGTTGGTCATCACGTGACCCAACGCTTTCATTTCAGCTTGGAAAATTTCCGTTATAGTTGGAATACATCCACCACAGCCCGTACCGGCCTTTGTACATGATTTAACTTGACCCATAGAACAACATCCATCGTTTTGAATCGCTTCTCGAATTTGGCCTTTCGACACATTATTACACGAACTTGTAAAGTAAAATAAAAAGTTAGTTAAAATCGATTTTTCATTAAAAAAAAAAAAAGGTGCCCTAACGCTTACCAAACTTGAGCTTCATCGGGGAGTTCATCTGCACCTGGAGCCTGTCCATTTTTAACACCCAGGATAAGTTCACCGGGAGGGGTGGTTAAAACTTTCTTTGATTTCATAAGAGCGTGAAGTTTGGCATAATCGTCAGTATCACCGACTAAGATACCACCAATCAAGTACTTGCCATCTTTTGAGAATAAAAGCTTTTTATAAACCGAACCAAAGGGATCATTGTACACCAGAGGCATCGCCGTATCTTCATTGGCGAAATAATCACCAAAACTGGCCACATGAACTCCCAAAAGTTTAAGTTTACTTGACATGTCTCCTCCCAAGAATCGTTTATCATCGCCTGTCAAGTTTTTTGCAACCACATCAGCCATATCATAACCGGGCGCAACAAGTCCATAAATCATACCACCGTACAAAGCGACTTCACCAATTGCAAAAACATTAGGATCACTAGTTTGTAAACGGTCATCAACAAAAACGCCACCACGTTCGTGGGTTGAAATTCCCGATGCTTTGGCAAGTTCGTCACGCGGACGAATTCCCGTTGCAATGATCACTATATCCAATTGAATCGTTTCATCATCAAATCGAACACCCGAAACCTTTCCTTCATCATCCGAGATGATCTCTCTTGGTTGAGAGCCAATTAAACATTTAATTCCAAGCTTTTCGATCTCACTTTGAAGCATTTTTCCAGCTACAGAATCCAATTGTCTTGTCAACAATTGAGACCTTTCAATAATCGTGACATCCACTCCCAAATCCGCTAGAGCTTTGGCGGCTTCAAGTCCAAGTAAACCACCCCCGATTACGGCGCCACGCTTCGATTTTTTGCTGTAGCTTATGATTTCATTTAAATCGTCGATGGTACGGTATACAAATACACCCGGTCGATCCGAACCGGGGATCGGCGGTACAAAAGCATAAGATCCTGTGGCCAGAATGCACGTGTCGTAAGGCACGGACAATCCATTTGCTGAGATTACACATCTTGTAGTAGTGTCTATATAGGTCGCCTTTTCGTTTGTGTGAACGATCACGTTATTTTTTGAATACCAGCTTTTAGGCTGTATTAACATTCGCTCTTCTTCTCGATGAGAAAAGAATTGGGTTAACCCGACTCTGTTGTACGCAACTTTTTATTTATTTTTTTTTTTAATAAAAAAAGGATACATATAAATATATAAACGCGATAATTAAATCGGTCGAAATTCCATCCAATTTAAAAGAAAGTGAACTTACCTAGAGGTTCTTCGCAAAAAGTTTCAATTCTAAATTGATTATTTTTGTCATATTTTAATAATTTTTCGATGAATGATAAGCCGACCATACCAAGACCGCAAACTACTATGGTCTGTTTGGTATCAACCGGAGTGATAGTAACTTCGTTAGGTGGCATTTTAATATTATTAATTATTATTATTATTATTATTTTTTTATAAATTTAAGGCAAATCCGTGAAAGATCTAGGAAAAGAAAAAGAAGGGATGTGAATAGGAACAGCACAAAAAAAAGGAGTGATGAAAATTTCTCCCTTGTATGATCAAAATTTATATAAAAAAAATTGGCGTCTTTAATTGATAAGATAAGTTCATGGGCGCGAATTAGCTAAATGCGTGTGAATCTTACGATAAGATAACGAAAGGAGTGAAGGGCGATCAACACAAAAAAATTAAAGTAAATATATATATGTTTTATATAATTTATTCTCTTATCTAGTGTTCCCTGTGATAAGATATCAAGATTACATACTAAATATTTAGTGTATCACTATTTATCAAGAATTCCATCGACTTTTAATGGTGCAGAAAGAAATTCGTTCTTTGTTATCTAGAATAAATTGACAGTTCTTTATCAAGAGATATGGTTATCAGATTATTCATCTCGTGCAGAATTGGGCAAAAAAAACAATGTACTTTCGCAGATCAATTTGATAAAAATAGTAGCTACTAGCTTATCAAATTTGTTATCTATTCAATAAAAACATGTTTGGTTAGTTTGGTTCGGTATCAGTGCATTGATAAAAATAAAAACAATGGTTTATCGCTCTTCCACCTGAAAATCAGGCAATTTCGGCCATGGGAGTCAAACTAGGCCTTCCTCAATCGGTCTCGTCTCACTTTCATTTAATATAAAATTATTATTATTAAAATATTATTATCCAAAAAGGGAAGGTCGTATTCCTTATCAATTTTATTCAATAGTACTTAGCCTTCATTTTAATGGTGCAAACTAAAATACTTTAAAAAAAAAACATTATAAGAATATTAAAGATGAAATGATTAGATAAATTCGATTTCCTGATTTAGCTAAAGCATTTATAAATACTTTTGTTTTGATAGGTAGAATTTTATTATGAATTGATTGAATAAAAATGTAGCACTCATACTAAAAAAAAGAAGCTGTTACTTATCTGTATCTAAATCTAAATTAATACAGTAGTTTAAGTTCCTTAAAAAATTTATTAATGTGATAATTTCAAAATCCGAGATCTCCGATTTACTCTTTATTGTATTGTGTTTATTGTTACGAATTGCTTTAAAACATATTTCATATTTAGTAGCAAATTTAAATCATTTGGGAATTTTTAATGTATATACAGTATATTGGTGTACACTTGAAAGATTTTAACGAAATAGTAATAAATGAACTAACTAAAAATGGATTGAATATGTAGTATATAAAATATAAAATATAAAAAAACAAATTTTGAAAAATATATTAAAATATTTAATATCAATAAATAATAATTTTAAACGTTAAAATACATTTTTAATAACTAAATTATATATTTATTTAATCAATTTATAAATGGCGCAGATATCACGTGAAGGTCACTAGTTCTAGCTAAATGATGATTAATATAAAAACTCTCTCTCATAAATCACATTTGATCGAAATATTTTCTCACAATGCTAAGAAACATACTAGACAAAAAGTTTAAGTTAGCAAGGAATACCTTGCTCCAATATATTGAACAGGATATCACAAAAGAAAATACGATAGATGAGGGTACAGCTAAATAGAAATCAAATAGAAGAGAATACAAAGTCAAGAGAAATTGTAGTTTTAAGTGGCGTATCACTTGAAAAATTCTGCAAGTTACGTACAGAAGCGAAAAAGTTTAAAGTTTACATCCGTTTAGTTAAGGGTGAAGTAATCGTATACGAAATGCCCAGTTCTGCTCATACATACGTAGCTGAATATTTGATTGTTTTGATAGGAGCTTAGAGCAACTATCTTGATGTTGGTCCAGAACTAGATATAACTGTTAATCGTAACACTCAGTATATTTCTGATGTCGTAGTTAAACCTTGGTCACCTTGGCAACCTGGACAACAACCTACATCTAGAAGCGTATCGCGGCCAAGAATGATTATATAAGTGGGAAGACATGAGCCTATTGGAACGATTCTGCACAAACCAGATTAATTCAAGTTTATTTATCAATTAAAATATTTGATTTTTGGTCAGATAATACTGCTGTGATGCTTGCGATGCTTTATTTGCGTAATAACCAGATTTCTACAACTATTCCTACACAAAACTGACCAAACGTACGCATGACAACAATGCAAAACACAATACCAAACCTCGTAATTTTGTTCAGAACAGCACCTCTTCAACATGAATCAATAGATATCATTAATAGTACTGGAATACGAAGTTATAGAATCACTGGCTTCCTTCATCCTAATGATACTGCTTGTATGAATCCCGGAATGCCGAATTACCAGATTAATATACCATCAAATTTACTTTTCAATAGTTTTTCTGAAGGTGTGCTTCAGGGAACACCAAATAATTTCAACATAGATCTCTGAGAGGTTCAGCAACGAATTCTGGAACGTCTGGTGAGTGTTGCTTTCATGCTTTGCTGTTACATTATTACTGATAATTCCTAATTTTTTTCTTCTAAATTATCAACAGTTATAATTTCTTCAATTGAGACATGCTTTACAGCTATTATATTGAGAACTTTGAATATATTTGGAAAAATTTGCTATACTGTGGCCAACAAAAAAAATTCATGTAAAAAATGCAAAATGTAAAATTTGTAGGTAATAATAATACGTTAATAAAATAAGAGACAGCTTAAGTTACATGATTATTATCTATCTGTCATTGAAATGTCAGTTTGCCAAAATTGCTATGACCCATTACTTAAATTATTTGACCTTCTTAGTAGTCCTGTAATAAAAATAGCTATTAGTATATGAGATGACTGAATAAAAAAATGTTAAGAAGAATTCCCTTACGGACGTACCATGTGATATACATGAAGTTTCTTTTTAATACAGATATCTGATTTTGATGATCAAGATTGGAATATCTGATACATGACCGTTAATCAGAAATTTATTAGCACATGGAATTTCTTTAAGAGCAATGAATTACGTGTATTATAAGGTTATTGATTATAGGAGATCGAAACTTTTGGATGCTTGATTAACGAATTCCTTAAATTTTTCGTATCCTTTCTGAAATAACAATTTCCGGGCTCCATACCTCAATAAGAAAAATCCCATTATCTAGACAAATGCATCTTTTTTGCCGATCACGATTAACGATGTCCTCGAGTTTTTTAACATCTTTGTACCAGCTAGTACTATGAAACTGATGCTGTGCTCCTTACACTTACAGCGCGATTTGATAATTTTGGAAGAAGGCATCAAGTTCTAGTCCATTTAAGAAGAGAGGACAATATTTGATCATAGGTTTCTCATTAAAAATTTCCTTAGCTATCTGGATACATTTGTGATTTTTCTCTAGATTCTAGCCTCAATCTGTTATTCTCTTCCATCATCTGCTTTATAAGCTCGGCAAGTTTCATTCTAAGCTCAGGAATCTTGACATTCATAGCTTCAACCTCAGCAAGCTTCTTTTTAAGTTCAGGAATCTCGGCATTTTTGACCTCAAGCTCAGTAATTCGTTGTTTCAATAAATCTATTTCAGATTGCATACTGTGTTATAATATAATATTGTTATGCATTGTATACATATATTCAAATAATTTAACCTGTTATCATTGGTAACAGGTTTCGTCAAGAAAAAATCTCCCTCAAAAATAGATTTTTTTAGGGTAAGGCAGATTTGCATTATTTCCTTGTCTTAATTATAAAAAAAAAACTTTATTAAATAGTTCTGCAATAGCAAAGCTACCAGAAGCATTAATACATACAAAAATAAATATAAAGAAGTGAACAACTCTGACCATTTTTTCTCATGATTGTTCAAAGCTTTTGAGCTGATGATCATTGTTCTGAACTAAGTCTTTCTACTATCTCATCTAATGCAAGTACTTGAAAACTATCTTTAAAGACTTTTAATTTATTCTCAGGTAATAACCATTAAGGAATATAAATTTAAGTAGTTCTTTATATTGGCTTATATTCATGTTATACTTTTTTAACTTTAAGTAAAATTCCTTTACCATTAATTCAAATTGAAATTCCATAAATTCTTTAGAAAAAAGGTATTGATTAAGATGTAAATCAATCAAATAAATTAGCTATATGCATTTTATATGATTAGAAAATATTTCAGTTAAAAGAATAATTCTTTTAAGCTAATAATCACTATTCTAGGTTGATAGTAATTATTTCAGACTTAAATTTTTTATATTAAATATATTTTAATTAAATATTATTCTATGTATATATATAGATAATATAAATAATGATATATATAATAATATATATTTTATCATTTATAATGTACTTTTGCTACCCAAGTTCAAATCAGTTTTTACATTTTAAAATTCTAATTCTATAATAAAAGAGAAGCAAGAATATAATAAAACAGATTAGATTATCTGCCTACACATTAGAAAAAATGAAAGCATTTGTGATCAAGTCTATATCAAATCGATAAAATGCTTACTTAATTAAAATTAAATATAAATAAAATATTAAAATTTCCTTGTAAAATATGCAATAAATATACTTTATTATATATAGAATTTTATTCTAAATATACAAATAAAATTTACTATCATATTAAAAAGAAAAGATAATAAAAGATCTCATAATTAGTATTATTTATCTTAAACATATAATAATAATTTTTAGAATAACAATCTTAAAAATAAAAAATAATTTTTTGAATCTTTATGCAAAATGTCTTCAGTTATTACCTAATTGTAAAAAATGAAAAATCTGATTTTACAAATCTTTATAAACTGATTTCTTACTCATTCTTTACTAAAGCATACTATTTTTCTAAAGTATACTTACTATTTTTTTCTATTTCTCATTAATATCAAACTACAGAAATATGACTTCTTTTTTTTTTTAAGATAATATTAAATTATCTTCTCTTTTATCAGCT